CCACAGATCGACGGGCCACGCGAGCCGAAAGCCCCCGAAAAAGAGAGGTCGGTCCCAGCTCTGCCCCCCAAGGAAGCCTGCAAGTGCCACAAGGAGGACCTGGCCAGAGCGCTGCACGTAAGAACCGGCCCCCCTCTGACGCTGGCCGAGACTGAGGGCAGCACAGAGACCCCGAGGGCTCTGAATTCCCTTCCTGCCGTCCATCTTCGTGACACTGTTGGGAAGCCTCCGGGCGGAGTCTCCTCAGTGCCTCGGCCACTCGCTGGCCCTCACTGAGGCCCAGTGTCCTTCCACACCCGAGGGTCTGCAGGCAGACAGTCAGGGCCACGGCGCAGCGCAGGGGGGGCCCAGGGGTGGGGTCTCGGCGCCAGCTCCCCTCCTCTGGAGTCCCCCCTCCGTCCTTGTGACCCCTGGAATCGCCAGATACTCAGACCCCACCTCACGGGAGTCTCAGGGCCATGGGAACCCCCAGCCCGCAAGACAGCGCGGCCCCCGGGGAGATCCCCTTGGGGGCCGTGAGCTGGGCTGGCTTCACTTCTCCCATTTTCTCGGAAAACTGAAGAAAAGCCGGGCAGGGTGGGCACACCCGTCATCCCAGCGGCCTGGGAGGCTGAGGCAGGAGGATGCCAAGTCCAAAGCCAGGCTGGGCCAGTGAGCGAGACCCTGTCTCCAAATGAAAACGAAAAGGGATGAGGGTGGAGCTCAGTGGTGGAGCACCCCAGGTTCAGCTTTAAAGGGCACGTGTCACCGTTTCAAGGAAGCTGAAAGTCACTGTTTCGGGCCAGTCCGTTCCCGAGAATCCAGAGGTCTGTCCCGAGTCCCGCAGGCGGTGTTCGGAGGAGAGGAACTGTTTTCTTCCTCTCCTGTCTTTTCCCACCTGGAAAGCCCGGTTGCTTTTCTTTCCCTCTTCAGAAGAACCAAGAAGTCAGCCCAGTCCCCCTGCTGCCACCACACACAGCTTCCTTGTTGACCTTTTAAAACAAGGAAACTGCCACCGGCCGCCCATCACCACTGCCCCACGTTACCAGTGACTCGTAATTAGCTCTGTTAGCTTAAGGGACGAGCTCTCAGGAGCACCTGGCACCATGAACGCACAAGGCCATCCTTTCGGCAAGTACTGCTGCCCGGGGCAGCCTCCACGGTCTGTTTTCATGACTCTGGTGGCAGTGGGACACGTGGCGTGACGCTCTCTATTGCGCCACCTGCAAGCCTACGTTTTAGTGTTGGGATCCCTCGCGCTGTGTGCAGGGGTCAGTGTTCTCCACCTTGGAACCGGTTTCATCTTGCCAGGTGGAAACTGTCCCTAGCAAGTGCCACCCCACCCCCAGCAGCCGCCACCCTCTTCTGCCTCTGAATCTGACGTGTCGGAGTCCTACCGTGTCCTCCTAGCCCTGGTGTCTTTAGTTACCTGACCCCTTCGAGGTCCATCCTTGTAGCACAAGTCAGAATCTTTAAAGCCAGCTGACACTCACTGCGTGTGCACCCCAAGACCCCTCTTCCAGCCACCCGCCCGCGGGCAGGGGGTCGCTTACGTCTCTGTGTGAAGTGCCGTGTGCAGACCTCCCCGAGACCCGTGTCCAGTTTTCTCGGTGTTTGGACCTGGCAGTAGGATTGCTGGGCCTGAGCTAATGCTATGCTTAATTTTTTGGAGGAAACGTCAGGTTGCACTCCCAAGGCTCATGTTTAAACTCAGAAAAGCCCTGCTTCCGCTCCTCCATTCACACACCTCTGCAGTCCCGTTGGCTGACGCTGGGGCCCAGTGCCCTCTCCCGGCGGTCATCGTAGAAGGAACCCTGTGGTCTTTCTGAAAAAGTCTGTGCCTGTCCCTGCCCACTCTGCCCCATCTGCTGGGGTCTCTGAATAAGTCCCCTCTCTTCTGGGGATGACCCCGCCCTCCTCGTCCACTGCGGAAGTGGCCGGCTTTCCCGTGGGGTCTGCAGCTGGGACTCCTCGGTCCTGGCGGGACCCTCCGTGAGCTGGTGCTGGGCCGGCCCCTTCCAGGTGGACTTGGACAAGGGACTGTCGGAGTTTGCGGTGACGCAGCGCAGGATGGTCCACGGCTGGAACGAGTTTGTGGCTGACAACGCGGAGCCCGCGTGGAAGAAGTACCTGGACCAGGTAGGCCCACAGGTGCCCGGGCCAGGCAGGTGGGGCCTCCGGGCGCTCTGTAAATATTGACCGAGGGTGTCTTGGACAGGCCCTGCCTGGGGCTGGGGTGGGTGCTCCACAAGATAAGCAGTCTCCCGCCCCCCTCCAGGCCGCTGAGCTGGCAGGAGGCACCCTGAGTGGTGACCAGAGGCCCAGCGCTGTGATCGGGAAGGAGATTGATGGCAGTCGGGCTCCTACTGTGGCCGGGCCCACGGGGTCCCCCTCCTCCTCGTTTTGCAGAGGGGAGAGTGGAGGACAGAGACACTGACCTATTGCCCGGGGTGTGTAGCGATGTCAGAATCAGGAAATAAAATCTCAGGGTGCCCTGCTCAGTCTGAATCTCATGGAGACAGACGAGAGGCAGTGTGGAGGTGTGTCCGTCTGTCCCACTGGACCTAACTACACTTCTTGACTGGCCCTTGTTCATCTGAGGTTCACATTTATCTGGCAAACGGACCCTAAAGTCACACAGAGAAGAAGGGGTGACGCTGACGGCACAGCCAGGCTCTGGCTCCAGCACGCTGGGTCTTAGCTGTCACCTGGTGCTGACCAGGCCAGCAGGAAGCGGGACCAGGGGACAGAGCCCGCCGTGGGCTCCAGGAGGTCAGGTGGCCCGTCGACAGGCAGCTTCCCAGAGGCCTCGGGGACGGGGTGGCCTGGTTGACCCCTCCCCACTCCCTGGTCCTGGGCCCTGGGCTCAGCTGCCGTCCCACTGGCCCAGTGTCGAGGCTCCGCGTTGGCGGTTCCGGGGCCAGTCGCTGTCCTCACAGCACTCTCCGTCTCCTGTCCGTGTGGCCCCTGCAGCCCACTGGTCACTCTTGGGCCCTGAGGGTGAGCTCCATGGACGCACTCTGGCACCAAACGGGTTCCCAGCCCGGTGGGTGACGGCGGCCCTCCAGCCTCCAGGACCCCAGTGTTGGGAAGAGGGGGGGGACCTCTTTCCCTCCCACCAGGGGCTCGCCGCCATGGCCAGCCAGGGCCTTCCAGGGCGACATGTCAGACTCCTGACGGCGAGGACCTGCTCGTCCTCACACCCCGTGGGCTCAGGCTGGCCTCTGTGGGCTGAGGGTGGCTGGGGCCCCCGGGGTCCTGGACTGAATTCTGTCTGTCTGTCCAGCTCCTGCTGTGCGCCAGGGGTCCGCCTCTGGTGACAGGGACTTTCCACCTCCTGAAGCAGCCTTCTGCCGTCTCCTGGGTCACCGCTGGGAACTGGGCCCTTATGGACCAAAGACGTAGGGCCCCGGGGCGGGTAGATGGGAGGGGGCCGGCCGGGGCTGGCCGTGTAGCTCAGTGGAGGGGC